TGTAGAATAAATATCTCAATCAAAAAGATTCAAGTCACTGATTGCCATTTGACATACTGCAGACACTCATGTCCACAATAGTGTAAGTCTCCATTAAGGCCAGTAACATACAGTCCTTTGTTTCTCATTCAATCCACCTCCATGTGCGACCTGTGAAGATCCGGGGTAGAATAGGTCTTCAGCAACCCATGCTTGTCTCCCCGTGAAGATCCGGGGTAGAATACGTCTTCAGCAACCCATGCTTGCCGTAAAAGGCAAGTAACAGGACCAGGGGGTCAGACTCGCTGACTTGGTTGACGCATGTCATCGTATCCCAATTGCATGGATCGATGCTCATGATATCAATCACTGGATTGTCTGGTCCAGACTCGATTACTTACAGACCGGCATCATATAGCTGGAATATTGCTGAGTGCGGCATTTAACAACAAACAAACAGACAAACAGACAAACCTATCATTCATGGCAAAGGCAGACAACTCTGCCGGCAAAAACAACTTTATCATCAACCACAATATGAGAAACAAAAGACTGTTAAGGCCTCGTATATATCCAATAAAAGGTCTACATGAAATATGACGATGTATGGATTTGTGTGAAGGATTTGAGCAGACTAATACTGAGTACATCGCCATACTTTGTACAGTCGTGAGCAACTATCACTCAGGACAGGAGCTCACATCAACGCTTCCAGATTAAATAGAATTATTTAAATTTTTGTTAGGTAAGTGATTTTTAGTTAATTGAGCTATAGTCTTGTGTCTATTCTCCCTCACCACCAACAGTCGATATTGATGTTAGATTTCTTCTTAGAAACATATATCAATGTCAGTATGTCTTAGCGAGCTCTGGTTTCTTAATGTTTACTAACATTGTTAGATCCTTGACATCTAGTAGGGCATAAGAAAATAAAAGAATTGGTTCTCAGGCCATGGCTTTTGAAAACATAGTGCGGGCGTGTGGTTGTGTTTTTTTGTGGTTGTTTGAGCCAGTAGTATTGTAGCACGTGTTCGAGACACAGATTACTTAAAGATAGTTTGTTTTTTTTAAAATGGAAATCAAAACAAAACGTGCGGTGGACTTTATGATGATGCAGGCGGTGCCTGAGAACCAAGACTTTCATATTTTTTAGCCTAGTCTGTTATTTCTGCCTAAGGCAGTGTAGACTATGCAACTGTAATGTCTGGATGGAGTTCAAGATGGTTTTACTGTATTCCACACCAAGAAGTGTCGGAATCACCTTGTCATTTGCACAGAACAAATATATGTAGGGATTAGTTGATTCAGGGAAACAGCTTCCATATCCACATCCAACCCCACTGACATGTCCCTTGAACTCTCTAACCTCCTTGTGGCATCCCCCCCACCCCTATAACTAAGGTGATTTCCCTCAGTGCTGCTGACTAGACATAGGAAAGATACATTCCTGATTCCTCGGTAGAATATCAACATTTACCCTTCTTCTTATATAGCTTGTTTGTTTACTAGCACCACACCCAGCAATGTTCCAACTATATGGCGGTGGCCTGTATTGAATGAGTCCGGACAAACCAGTGATTGATATTATGTGCAACAATCTCTAAGCTGTCAGACGATTACGCACAAGTAGTCGGACCATCCGCCCCATGATGTTGCCTTGTATGACAAGCAACTCATGAAGATCCAGGTTAGAATAGGTCTTCAGCAATCCATGCTTGCCGTAAAATGTAACTATATATGCTTGTCATAAAAGGTGACTAACGGGATTGGGTGGTCAGGCTCACTGCATGTCATCGTATCACAATTGCTTGGATTGATGCTCATGATGTCAGTCTCTGCATTGTCCGGTTCAGACTCGATTATTTACAGACCGCCATATATAGCTGAAATATTACAGAGTGCGGCTTTAAACAACAAACAAACAAACAGAACAAAATTGTACGCCAAGTATAGTTGCTTGGGACCAGCTCTAGCTTTGAAGCCCTATAGTACATTCCCTATGAACATAACGTGATTCCTGGGAGGTAATTAAGGTGGAGGGGGCAAGAATCAGCTGCACTCGGAGACTGAGCCAGGTCATAGATGAGTACTTTAACCCCTCGGCTACCCCAGGTCTTCAAACATCGGCAGTGAGTAAGGACTGTTTGTGAACATACTGACTTTTGATCACTAATTTATTCGCAAGGAACAGGTGGAGATTAAGTGAGGGATAACCGTTGCCGTGACACACTGACCATCCTGCCTCTCGTGATTAACCGAAGCTAGACAATCGTGGTCCTCATCTCCTATTGCTTCAAGTCAACTATTGCATTAAGTTGTTAACAATCAGTATAGTCAACTCGCGATCAATCTGATGAGCTAGTATATATACCATCATTCTTAATTGCATTGATATTCGTCTTAGGATGACAGGGACGTAGTTTACAAAAGCAAAACAAAATGCATACAAAAAAGTAGGTTAAACATCAACATGAATCTTCATCTTAACAAATGCAACATCATACAATGTGTGGAACATTTGGATACACTGTTACACATGGAACTGATTCATTAAGGAAATCATCGACATTCAAAGTATTAAGGAATTCAGCCATGAATGATGATGTAATAAATCTGCATACACCAACAGCAGCAAGGCGATGTCTACATATGTGATGCTGCAAGCTGACAGGTTGGAAATGTGGCATTAAAAACAATACCTAATACCAGAAACCACATAGCGAATCTGGTCTCTGCTAAAACACTCCAAATGCATAAAGAAATAACATATGTGTAATTACTTATGTGCGTTTTCACACTGTTAAGGGCAGTGAGTTTGCAAATAATGTAACATTTAACAAGCCATAAGTAATGTGTTGGGGTTTTCCAGAAAAAATAATTTTGCCTCATATTTAACACAAAACAATAGAACTGTTTGGTGGACATCCTGAAAATAAATACATTGTTGACAGTTTGTAGGTGATGAGGCAAAGATGTGCTGCCTCAGATATTCCCCACCCTCACCAACATAACATGGATGTCAGTTTGTGCTACTCTACAGACACCACACAGCAGCTGTATACATCTAGGAATGCCCAGAGCTCTTATTTCTTCAAAACCTATGATAAACAACAAACAGATTTCAGCCTTACATACATGAAACATGTGAACCTTAAATCAACCAGTCGGAGAAAAGGTAGCAGTTTAAGCTTTGAGCCACAAGTTAAAGATGCTGACAGACACACATTCCTGTAGGTGCAGGCCTACACTTGTACTGGGCAACAACAGTGTTGTGTACACAAGTATTCTTGTCTGTATTATTCAAAATGGCTGCCTGGCATCTGGCATCATGCACACTTGGCAACAGGGGAGATAACCCAAGTTGTCACCACTACTTCAGCAGACCATGGTTACGACAGGGACATAAGGTGTTTATAACAAACTATTTCTAAACTCACAGCTGCTTTACCATATATTATATAAATTAACACAATTAACAAACATTATAACGAATTAACAGCTATAGGGGACTGAATTGTTTTCCAAAAGAAAGTCATCATATTCATACTCCAATCAACCAATGTGGATTAACTCATCCCTGTCACACTACAATAAACATCCAGATTTGTGAATAAGACTAGCAGTGCCTCACTACCCACACCAACAAGTCGTGTCATCACACTGTCACTGCTAACTGTTTCAACCCTTGTTTAAATATTTCCTTTAAGTAACTACCACAGTACTAAATACACAAGGTTTACGAATACAGCCACCAACTGTCCCTGGGTGTTCCATCCATGACCTACTGCAGTACACTCACAAGCTGACCCTTGCTGTGCAATTATAGTTTGGGAACTGCAAGCTAGTTAATGTTAAGCATTAAAAGCAAAAAGTATATGAAAATTGCACACATTTGAAACATTGGCTAATCAGTTTGAACAAATCACACACTAGATTGTCTGTCACACACACCCTCACACCCTCACACCCTAACACACACACACAAGCACACCCTGCCACACACATACAAACACACACCCTCACACCTCCACACACCCACACACTCTCACATGCAAATACTCACTAAAAGAGTGGCAGAGAGTGGCAGCTAGAATAATTCAACAAGCACGCTTCCAAAGCTTCCACGATGTTCCTGGTCTACATACACTATAGGAAAACATGTCCAGCACAACTGAGACAAGAACATAATTATATTGAGAAAAATCCTATCTACACATCACAATAAACTGACATGTTTATCACTTACAACTACACGAATAGATCTGTCAGAAGAAGGTGAGGGTATTCATCCATCCAGGCAGAGTAAAGTTCTGCAGACGTCTTGACCATTCACAGCTATGGTGTTTTGGGGTACAAAATAATTCTCTGATGTCAAAGCAAAGCAATTTAGATTTTTTTTGTATATAATGAAACACTTAAAAATTGCAATGCAATTACAGAAGTTAATTAAAAAAGTTATAAATGTCTTAATCACTTTTAATAATTACTCTTCATTCTTACTGAAATAATTTATCAATTAACAGTGCATAAAAAACATTTTAGAAAATAATTGTATTTTCAAAGTGTTTCAGCACATAACATTTTCATTTGCAAAGACTGATGTAAATTGTTTGTACATAAACCTCTTGTCATGTGAGCACATACACTATGTAGCTAGAAGACCCAGCCTCAAGCTCCTTCCGAAGCCGCATCTTTCAAAATGAGCAAGCCTCGTCACACCAACACTATAACAAGACTAAAATAAAATGTAATTTGTACAGTGTAAAATAGGCAACAGCAAAAGGGAAAACAACAGACTTGTCAATCATTCTGAGATCTACCTTATAGTCTTCAACACGTAATATGCCATCACAATTATGCAAGGCTCATCTATATACAGCTGTGAGTAGTATCATATGTACAACTGTTTAACACTGTCTCACATCATTGGGATATAGCAACATTGTGTAACACTGCATGCCAGCCCTGGGGATATATCATCATATATATCATGTACGGATGACCACTATAGGATATATCACTACATACAGCTGATATATGATGTACCACAGTGCTGGACACTGGTTGTCATATTGTTTAGAGAGGCACTGACCACCAATGTCCAGATATAATATATATATATATATCACCAGTAAATAATACATTGTTTAATACGGCTGGCGTCATAACATTTATATTGCCTCTGACATCAATGGCCTATGTAACAGCTGGCATCACAATTTAATTGGAACATATCAGCAACCATAGCACCTTCACACTGCCGCAGGTCAAGTGTCAAGAGGTCACAAGTACGACGGGGAAGTGTGAGTGAGGTGTTACACCTGTTCCAGCAATCGTACAGCAAGGGGGGACAATCGGGCTTCACACATTGTGTCCATAAGGGAACTGACCCTGGGTCAAAGAGAGTTATCCCCCTTCACTGGTGGCCATGGTCGTTGTGACATCGGTTTAACTGTCTTCCCTGTGTAATCAGTGCGACCAGGGTTTTAACATCTACGAAGAAGCACTTGATTATTCTTCTACATTTTCCTTCAAACTGTTTAATGTAGAGTAGACGAATCTAAGTCTGTCATTAACAATAACTTGTATACTAAATACTAGTTAGTCATGTTCTTACAATAACTTGTATACTAAATACTAGTTAGTCAAGTCTATTGGTGTTGTACAGACATAAAATTATGATGTGGGCTGTTCAAACACACTATTTGTCCATAGTAACAGATGCAGCATCTCGGTGGCATTCTGGTGCATGTGGTACGTAGCAGTAAAGGCACGGTCCCCGGAGGTTGAAGACACACGGAGGATGCAGCACCCACTACTATACATGCGCACACTGGATGTGATAAGTCAGCCTCGGTACCATCAACGTCACTACAAAAATATGTGCATAAAATATATATCCATAACATACTTTGATGCTTTTCATAAAAGCAAAATGCATATATCCTTTCATAACACTGCCAAGGCAGATCAACAATATAAGCTTAACTTTGACTGCCTATTCTGGCAATTAAACACTGCACAAAGGTCCTTTTATACAACAGTAAACAGAAGTAACATAGTGTGTGAACCGAAGCGTATTACTACAGCTGGCGAAACAGGGTAGGAAATAGCTGCCTGTCTGGGGCACCTGCACCGATATCAGTAGTCAGTCTCCTAGCCAGTCTAAAGATAGACATTTCCAATTTATTTAATATAATTAATAATATAATTACCATATTAATTTCAAGCCTTGATGTGGCCACATTCTCATGACTATTAAGTATCCAGACAATGCTTCAGTATTGGTGGTGATGTACATTAGGAGGGTACTATATAACTGGCTAGTGATCTGGGGTACTGTGTAAGAGTGACTCGTTACGTGGGCAGGATATTTCGAACCCTGCTTAAAGGGTTTCATTATGCCTTGTAATCAACACACTGGTGTCCTGAGCTCTGCCAGAGATGTTCTGTCTGGGACCTAACACAACTCCATCCTCCGCTGCATCCACACATGTACTTCTTCACACGTTGTAACCAGCATGAAACCTATCCATGAAACTCAATGAATCTTCACATTCAATGCTTTCAGACCTACGTCTGTCCATTCATTTGTCCACTGTAAAAATATATTTCATCTTTCATATGGGTTCTTGCTGAATGTTCATTTCACACTATACCAGTTATTCAAGTACATGTGAATTATATACAAATCAGTACCATGTCCATTCCTCTTAAAAGGAAGAGGTCACTGAAAGTCTTGCTTAGGAAGCCCTTTCTGGAAAAAGCCATCCAAGAGCTTCAAGACACTTCCTGTTTGAAATGGGCAGCGACACTGGCCGACATTTTGTACGAGTCCTGCATGCTTGTTACAGGAGGCGATGGAACAGGTGTCTCGGGGCCATGGCCGTTAGGAATGTGTTCCATTGTGTGGTTGACAGTGAGGGGGAGGGGTTCCGTCATCCCGAGACCCCGCTGGGGGGAGGGGGCCTGGTCTGACCCCCCGCTCAGGTAGTGGTGCTCCAAGCCCGGGGCCATGGGACTGGTGCTTCCAGGGTGGGAGGCCGTCAGGTGGTCTGGTTCCAGGGTATGTGTCAGGTTGATCTGCTCACCACCAGGTGGCGGCACGACACCAAGGGCATCGGGGTAGACCGTGGGTTCGATCAGCGGTGGGGAAATGCTGGCTTCAGCAGCTTGGGCAGATGAGGAGGAGGAGTCCCCTGTGTTGGCACCTGAAACAACAGGAGAATATTGTGAAACACAGCTCTCGACGTCACAAAACTATCAAAACTATCATGAAATACTCAAATCCCCCCCAATATGACATGTCCGGTTGTGTGCAAGGCAATAGCCTTCAGGAAACGAGCACTACCACCATTTTCAGTCTAAGTCAAATTTTTTTCAAAAAATCCCAAACTATCCAAAGGCACCAGTTTACCACAAGACCTATCTATGTGCAAAGTTTGGTTAAGATATTTCTCATGTTTTTTTAGTTCTGCTCTGGAATTGAAATGTGACAGATGGATGGAAGGACAGACAGCACCCATTCCTATATCCCCCTTCCACTTTGTGGCGGGGGATAATTAACTAGAGCTTAGGATGTGCTTCTTCCCTGAGTAAGTTACCAGCTACAAGTGCTACATCTTCCAGCAACTCACCTCCGAGCAGCATCTCCTGCAGCAGGTTGTCTATCTTGGCCATGCCAAACAGCTTGGCAAACTGGATCTGTTCGATCATCTGCCACGTGATGCTCTGCAGTGCAGGAAGGAGCAGCAGGATCTCCCCGAAGCGCCCTCTGGAGTCGTACTGGCGGTCGTTGATGTAGTCCTCCAGGTTCACCTGCACCTGATAGCGGAAGGCTTTAATCTTCTGCTGGTCCGTAAGTCCCTTGGCATCTGACAAGCAGGAGGAGAAGTAATAGCACGTGTTTCAGACAGGTCCAGCCTGCACTGTACCGAACATCATGCACGTCAAACATGTGGGAGGGAGGGAGGGAATATGTCAAACATGCAGGAGGGAGGGAATATGTCAAACATGCAGGAGGGAGGGAACATTTCAAACATGCAGGAGGGAGGGAATACATCAAACATGTGGGAGGGAGGGAATATGTCAAACATGTGGGAGGGAGGGAATATGTCAAACATGTGGGAGGGAGGGAACATGTCAAACATGTGGGAGGGAGGGAATATGTCAAACATGCAGGAGGGAGGGAATATGTCAAACATGCAGGAGGGAGGGAATATGTCAAACATGCAGGAGGGAGGGAATATGTCAAACATGTGGGAGGGAGGGAATATGTCAAACATGTGGGAGGGAGGGAATATGTCAAACATGTGGGAGGGAGGGAATATGTCAAACATGCAGGAGGGAGGGAATATGTCAAACATGCAGGAGGGAGGGAATATGTCAAACATGCAGGAGGGAGGGAATACGTCAAACATGCAGGAGGGAGGGAACATGTCAAACATGCAGGAGGGAGGGAATACATCAAACATGCAGGAGGGAGGGAACATGTCAAACATGCAGGAGGGAGGGAATACGTCAAACATGTGGAAGGGAGGGAGGGAATACGTCAAACATGTGGGAGGGAGGGAGGGAACATGTCAAACATGCAGGAGGGAGGGATTATGTCAAACATGCAGGAGGGAGGGAATATGTCAAACATGTGGGAGGGAGGGAACATGTCAAACATGTGGGAGGGAGGGATTACGTCAAACATGTGGGAGGGAGGCAATACATCAAACATGTGGAAGGAAGGGAATACGTCAAACATGTGGGAGGGAGGGAATATGTCCAACATGCAGGAGGGAGGGAGGGAACATGTCAAACATGTGGGAGGGAGGGAATACATCAAACATGTGGAAGGAAGGGATTACATCAAACATGTGGGAGGGTGGGAATATGTCAAACATGCAGGAGGGAGGGAACATGTCAAACATGCAGGAGGGAGGGAATACGTCAAACATGCAGGAGGGAGGGAATACGTCAAACATGCAGGAGAGAGGGAATACATCAAACATGCAGGAGAGAGGGAATATGTCAAACATGCAGGAGGGAGGGAATATGTCAAACATGTGGGAGGGAGGGAATACATCAAACATGCAGGAGGGAGGGAATATGTCAAACATGCAGGAGGGAGGGAATATGTCAAACATGTGGGAGGGAGGGAATACGTCAAACATGTGGAAGGGAGGGAATATGTCAAACATGCAGGAGGGAGGGAATACGTCAAACATGTGGGAGGGAGGGAATACATCAAACATGCAGGAGGGAGGGAATACGTCAAACATGTGGGAGGGAGGGAATATGTCAAACATGTGGGAGGGAGGGAATATGTCAAACATGCAGGAGGGAGGGAATATGTCAAACATGTGGTAGGGAGGGAATACGTCAAACATACAGGAGGGAGGGAATACGTCAAACATGCAGGAGGGAGGGAATATGTCAAACATGCAGGAGGGAGGGAACATGTCAAACATGCAGGAGGGAGGGAATATGTCAAACATGCAGGAGGGAGGGAACATGTCAAACATGCAGGAGGGAGGGAATATGTCAAACATGCAGAAGAGAGGGAATATGTCAAACATGTGGGAGGGAGGGAATACGTCAAACATGCAGGAGGGAGGGAACATGTCAAACATGCAGGAGGGAGGGAATACATCAAACATGCAGGAGGGAGGGAACATGTCAAACATGCAGGAGGGAGGGAATACGTCAAACATGTGGAAGGGAGGGAGGGAATACGTCAAACATGTGGGAGGGAGGGAGGGAACATGTCAAACATGCAGGAGGGAGGGATTATGTCAAACATGCAGGAGGGAGGGAATATGTCAAACATGTGGGAGGGAGGGAATACATCAAACATGCAGGAGGGAGGGAATATGTCAAACATGCAGGAGGGAGGGAATATGTCAAACATGTGGGAGGGAGGGAATACGTCAAACATGTGGAAGGGAGGGAATATGTCAAACATGCAGGAGGGAGGGAATACGTCAAACATGTGGGAGGGAGGGAATACATCAAACATGCAGGAGGGAGGGAATACGTCAAACATGTGGGAGGGAGGGAATATGTCAAACATGTGGGAGGGAGGGAATATGTCAAACATGCAGGAGGGAGGGAATATGTCAAACATGTGGTAGGGAGGGAATACGTCAAACATACAGGAGGGAGGGAATACGTCAAACATGCAGGAGGGAGGGAATATGTCAAACATGCAGGAGGGAGGGAACATGTCAAACATGCAGGAGGGAGGGAATATGTCAAACATGCAGGAGGGAGGGAACATGTCAAACATGCAGGAGGGAGGGAATATGTCAAACATGCAGAAGAGAGGGAATATGTCAAACATGTGGGAGGGAGGGAATACGTCAAACATGCAGGAGGGAGGGAACATGTCAAACATGCAGGAGGGAGGGAATACATCAAACATGCAGGAGGGAGGGAACATGTCAAACATGCAGGAGGGAGGGAATACGTCAAACATGTGGAAGGGAGGGAGGGAATACGTCAAACATGTGGGAGGGAGGGAGGGAACATGTCAAACATGCAGGAGGGAGGGATTATGTCAAACATGCAGGAGGGAGGGAATATGTCAAACATGTGGGAGGGAGGGAACATGTCAAACATGTGGGAGGGAGGGATTACGTCAAACATGTGGGAGGGAGGCAATACATCAAACATGTGGAAGGAAGGGAATACGTCAAACATGTGGGAGGGAGGGAATATGTCCAACATGCAGGAGGGAGGGAGGGAACATGTCAAACATGTGGGAGGGAGGGAATACATCAAACATGTGGAAGGAAGGGATTACATCAAACATGTGGGAGGGAGGGAATATGTCAAACATGCAGGAGGGAGGGAATATGTCAAACATGCAGGAGGGAGGGAATACGTCAAACATGCAGGAGAGAGGGAATATGTCAAACATGCAGGAGGGAGGGAATACGTCAAACATGCAGGAGGGAGGGAATACGTCAAACATGCAGGAGAGAGGGAATATGTCAAACATGCAGGAGGGAGGGAACATGTCAAACATGCAGGAGGGACGGAATATGTCAAACATGTGGGAGGGAGGGAATACGTCAAACATGTGGAAGGGAGGGAATATGTCAAACATGCAGGAGGGAGGGAATACGTCAAACATGTGGGAGGGAGGGAATACATCAAACATGCAGGAGGGAGGGAATACGTCAAACATGTGGGAGGGAGGGAATATGTCAAACATGTGGGAGGGAGGGAATATGTCAAACATGCAGGAGGGAGGGAATATGTCAAACATGTAGTAGGGAGGGAATACGTCAAACATACAGGAGGGAGGGAACATGTCAAACATGCAGGAGAGAGGGAATACATCAAACATGCAGGAGAGAGGGAATATGTCAAACATGCAGGAGGGAGGGAATATGTCAAACATGTGGGAGGGAGGGAATACATCAAACATGCAGGAGGGAGGGAATATGTCAAACATGCAGGAGGGAGGGAATATGTCAAACATGTAGTAGGGAGGGAATACGTCAAACATACAGGAGGGAGGGAATATGTCAAACATGCAGGAGGGAGGGAATATGTCAAACATGCAGGAGGGAGGGAACATGTCAAACATGCAGGAGGGAGGGAATATGTCAAACATGCAGGAGAGAGGGAATATGTCAAACATGTGGGAGGGAGGGAATACATCAAGCATGTGGGAGGGAGGGAATATGTCAAACATGCAGGAGGGAGGGAATATGTCAAACATGTGGGAGGGAGGGAATACGTCAAACATGCAGGAGGGAGGGAATATGTCAAACATGCAGGAGGGAGGGAATATGTCAAACATGTGGGAGGGAGGGAATACATCAAACATGCAGGAGGGAGGGAATACGTCAAACATGTGGGAGGGAGGGAATACATCAAACATGTGGGAGGGAGGGAATATGTCAAACATGCAGGAGGGAGGGAATATGTCAAACATGTGGTAGGGAGGGAATATGTCAAACATGCAGGAGGGAGGGAATACGTGAAACATGCAGGAGGGAGGGAATATGTCAAACATGCAGGAGGGAGGGAATATGTCAAACATGTAGGAGGGAGGGAATACGTCAAACATGCAGGAGGAAGGGAATATATCAAACGTTTGGGTGGGAGGGAATATGTCAAACATGTGGGAGGGAGGGAATATGTCAAACATGCAGGAGGGAGGGAATATGTCAAACATGCAGGAGGGAGGGAGGGAATACGTCAAACAAGTGGGAGGGAGGGAATACATCAAACATGCTGGAGGGAGGGAATACGTCAAACATGCAGGAGGGAGGGAATACATCAAACATGTGGGAGGGAGGGAATATGTCAAACACGTGGGAGGGAGGGAATATGTCAAACATGTGGGAGGGAGGGAATATGTCAAACATGCAGGAGGGAGGGAATATGTCAAACATGCAGGACGGAGGGAATATGTCAAACATGTGGGAGGGAGGGAATACGTCAAACATGTGGGAGGGAGGGAATATGTCAAACATGTGGGAGGGAGGGAATATGTCAAACATGTGGGAGGGAGGGAATATGTCAAACACGTGGGAGGGAGGGAATATGTCAAACATGTGGGAGGGAGGGAATATGTCAAACATGCAGGAGGGAGGGAATATGTCAAACATGCAGGACGGAGGGAATATGTCAAACATGTGGGAGGGAGGGAATACGTCAAACATGTGGGAGGGAGGGAATATGTCAAACATGTGGGAGGGAGGGAATATGTCAAACATGTGGGAGGGAGGGAATATGTCAAACATGTGGGAGGGAGGGAATATGTCAAACATGCAGGAGGGAGGGAATATGTCAAACTTTGAGAGAATACATCAAAGCAGTAGACCAGCTAATGGGTGATTAAAACAAATAATACCAATATCTATTGGGATCAGGTCTTCTGAGTACCTAGTCATACAACCATACATACAGATCAACTACATATCACTGTCTTGTCTGAATAATGAGTAGAATATTGTGTCACATCTAGACCTAAATGTTTACCTGGGTCGAAGAAAACAATAGCTTTGAGACAAGCAAACTCGGAATCATCAATCTGGACATCCTTCAAAGGCTTGACAAGCTCATCCAGAATTCGACATGTGACTCGTACAATGTCAATATCAGTTGTATTCCGCGGAATGATGGAGTCGTTGCCAAGCAACAGAATATCTTTAAGACTCATGGATCGTCTTGCCACCCCCAGTACTAAATGCTCCCCGGCGTGAGCACGTAACAACGCCACCTGCAAGAGAAGAGGCGAAGTAGAATCAAAGATAGAAGCATTTGAACACAAACATCATGCTGACCACAACTCAACAAGTCTCCCAGTTTCTCAAAATGGTTCATATTAAGCGTGATCTTGGTGATAAGGAATAGAGCAGGAAAAATCAATGGGCAATTGTGTGAGTATGAATCTGAGGAATGATGACACACTTAAATAGGTTGCCAGTAGGTCTGCCCTGTAGTCACTGATCCCATAGTTTCTCATCAGTCATTGTGACCACCCAATCCCCAGTCCAGCATCATGCATTGAGGACTCCTTTACCCCAGAGTCCCCCAAATCCTAGTTCCATGGCTCTTCACTTCTGACATTTGGGTTCCAAAGAAACTTATGACTTTGGGTTTGGGGATGTTTCTAGGTCCATCAGCACCACACCCTGCTCATGGATTTCACCAGAATGCTCCACGTCTAAGACCTCATCAGTATTGTCAAGCTAACATACTGTGATTTTACAGAAATAGCTTACAAAGCGGCGTCAAACCAAATTCTCTCACTCAGATGGTCAGCAGTTGAAAACCTTCTACAGATTGTGGCCCTGTGACGACACTCTCCTACAGCTCTGATTTCACAAGAAGCACCTTCCAGCACCAGTGTTTCACATCGACAGGTTTTACTGAGCAATCATAACGCTCTGATCAGATTAAGTCTATGTTAGTGTGTAGAACTACAACAGTCTTGTTGCTATGGCTATCATTTTACAAACACTACCTGATGTCTGTTAATATGTGGATATGAAATTTCCCCTTGAATACGAAACTGCCCTACATGCTTTGGGAATGACTTTACGGCAGCCATCTTGGTTTGCTCTAGGCTGGCAGTCGAGTGACAACATGCGTGAGTGCAGAAGGTGTGTTGTGTCGGCTGATGAATACAAGTGTATATAAACCTGTGTCCGTCTATTTTAACAATGTAGGTGTCAGCTTTGACAGTCAAGCACTTTGCGGAATAGCACCAAGTCATCACAGACCCTGAAGATGTCCGGGCTCGAACTCACCTGATCGTCCAGTGGCAGCTCACAGAAGCAGGGGATGTACTTGGCCCACTCCACCAGGATGAGGAGCTGCTGCTTCATCGACTCGCACACATCGCTCACATTCGCCAACTTTTTGGTCGATAAGTCGGCATTTATTGGGGAGGTAATCTGAAATAATAAGACCACTTTCAACTCTAAAAGCCTACAATGACACCATCCTAAACACTTTCAGTTTGGTTCATTTCAGTGATTTATCAAACAGGCTGGATAGCTCAGTGGTTAAAGCGTTTGCTTGCCATGCTGAGTCTCCCAGTTTGATTCCCAGCATGTTTACAGAGTCCATTCTTGGTGTGTCTTTTTGTGCTATGACTGGAGATCTTGTTGATCTCATTGGCTTTGTCATAATATTGATATCTTTGTCATTATTCCCACCTTGTGTTGTGTAAACATGTCATGATATCATGAAGATGTTATCCATAGAAAGTGTCTGCTGCTCATCTGTTTGAACGAGACAAAAATGTTTACTACGCTTTCATTTTCTGTCTGATTCAGTTCAAATCTGCAGCACAATCTGGTTCAGAATTACAGGGTTCAAACGCTACTAGTTAATTAGGACTACCATCACTGGCTGTTTACTTGTCTCCAGCACAAGCTTGTAGTCTCGGGCTATCAGACGAGTATATATTTCGAAGGCTTGACACTTGTTGATACATAAGAGTGTCGACCCGTGAAGATCTGGGGTAGAATAGGTCTTCAGCAACCCATGCTGGCTGTAAAAGGTGACCATGCTTGTCGTAAGAGGCTCGCTGACTTGGTTGAACGTCATCATCGTTGGCCGCATGTCATCGTATCCCAATTGCATGGATCGATGTTCATGATGTCAATCACTGGATGGTCTGGTCCAGACTCGATTATTTACAGACCGCCGTCATGTAGGTGGAATAGTGCTGAGTTAAACAACAAACAAACATCAGGTGTCTGAAAAAAGGAAGAAACCATTTCTAACTCCACCTACCTGTCTGGACAAGATCTCAGCATTCAGCAGTGTGCTGACGGAGAGGGCTCCCGAGTTGGCGATGTCGTCGTAACTCGTTCGCCGCACACTGATCCGATCTCGCTCGTTCTGTACAGCTGAAAGGGAGATATCAATCATTGTCACAAAATCCTATTTGCATTTTACTTTCTATGAAGTTCTGAAAAACCCAAAATGGTCACATAATGAGTTGATCTGTGTTGCCTCTAGATCATAAGCCTCAACACAAACCAAGAGTTTCAGCACTGAGCAGCATCAACATCAATGTAAACAATTACAACATGTGATCACTCATCCGACCACTATCCATATCATGTGACATGCAGTTTTCATGTCACCAGCTTCTCTTTATCTTCAAGTATGACGTGACAAAGTCAGTTGATCAACTCACGGAGAACCTGAGGATAAATAGCTGGGTTATTCTTGATTAGTGAATTGTGAAACGTTCAACTCACGAAGCCACTAGTTGTACTGGTGCATGAAGGTACAAGACCTGATAACATTCTTCATTTCATTAGCTTGTGTGTATTGAATCATCAATTTTTTAAAATGTTTTTGCTGAAAGATTAATCGCTGTGACCATGAAATGATGGTGTGTTAAAAGATTTCCACCAATCCCTGAATCTAACCATGCAACAAGCTTGTGTGAGTGAGTATGGTTTTACGCCGCTTTCAGCACTATGCCAGCAATATCACGACAGGGGACACCAAACATGGGCTTCACACATTGTAGCCATGTTAGGAATTATACAAGGGTCTTCGACCTGACAAGCGAACGCTTTAACCACTAGGCTACCCAACCACCCCCAACAAGCTTGAGGTTCTTGGGACTATGGTTAACCAAGTGAGACATTATAAATTTTGGCAGTCTACCTTCTTTCTTCATCCCAGCTCGGAAGCACTTCTTGAGTCGACAATAGCGACACTGGTTGCGCTTGTCCTTGTCCACGATGCAGTTGCGGCTGAACCTGCAGCTGTAGACGTGGTTCTTGCGGACGCTGCGGCGGAAGAAGCCCTTGCAGCCGTCGCAGCTGGCAGCACCATAGTGTTTACCTGTCGCCCGATCTCCACAGATGGCACAGAACTGACTGATGGCGCCCGCCGAGTTCGGGGAAACCAGGGACTGGACAGCACCAAGAGACTGGGCATTGAGGTCTTGTGAATCTGTGGACGAAACAATCACATATAGAGGCTGATAACTAGCTGTGAGTGAGTATGGTCTGTAGCAATATTCCAGCAATATCACGGTGGAGGACACCAGAATTAACCTGGGTCTTCCGTGTGAAGAGTGAGTCAATGAGTGAGTGAGCTGGGTTTAACAACGCTTTAAACAGTATTCCAGTTATATCACGGGGTGTCAGCTTAATGTGGGAGGAAAGCCTGAAGTGATGCAGGTCTCAGACGTTTACCACTTCGGTGAAACCCAAAAGCACGTGTATGGAGTGCTGACAAATCTAGAAACATAATTGGGGACCCCCCCCCCCCAACACACACACACTCCTGGGACGAACATACGCTTAAACCACTAGGCTACCCCACTGCCCAAACACAGAAACAGGCTGATAGGTAGCTGTGGACAATACAAACACATATAGAGGCTGATAGCCAGCTGGTGAGTGAGTGGCTTCTAAATTTTGATTTAGACAGTATTTCAGTTCATGGGAAAAATATCAGGGGGCGTCCACTTCGTGTAGGAGCAAATTGATTCAGAACACAGATGTTTGTAACTTTGATGAAACCCATGAGCATGGTATGGGCTGAGAGACTAAGGATAAGCAGATCCTGGCAGCTAAGGGATGTAACTCTGCTCACTTAGTTGAACATTAGGCCACTCGGCTATCTGTGTCCCTCAAGCTTCAGGAACATGGGGAAGGATGTGGAAGAAAACTGTTGTACCCTGTGTTTGTTTGTCGTTTTACATCACACTTGGCAATATTCCAACACCATGAGAGCGGCCTGTGAAGAATCAAGTCTGGACCAGACACATCAGTGAGTGATATCATTAGCAATGTCCTGCCGTGGGGGAGTGAAGACTCCCTTTAAACCATGTCACCGAATCTGACCATCCATTCCATATATCCGCTTCCTACGACCTGTTCTTGGTGACCGAATCCATCCTCAAATCCCCACGTTTTTTTCTTGACCCAGCAGTACCAAGACCCGATATCTAACATTTCAAAGTATGTGTTGACATGAAACCAGTACAACTTCATGTTTTCTGGACAAGACTGAAATAGACCAAAACATCAGACCCACCAGTGATAAAGCATAAAAGAACATAGATTTTAAATATAAAAAACTAAAACCTACAAAAGAACAAACCTTTTAAGTTTAAAACACTAAAACCTACCATAATATTCCCAAGGACCCACATCGTGAATGCCACATTGTTGCAACACTGAGTACAGCATTGTGGGATTCAGACAACACGGATCTGTCAATCCCTATTGGTTGCTCTCACTAGTGGACTAGTCTCTGCTCAGCGTCCCCAACTCGGCACCCATCCCAGAACTCCCTGCCCCACGCCGCACTGACTAAACACATTCCAACACCTACCTAGCAAGCAAGCAGCCTCATGTCCAGTGATGAGGATGATAGTGGATTAACTACTGTAGTAAACATTTAACATTATTCATGTTTGGGGCAAGAACTTTATAAACTAGAGCCCTAAATAAGTATTTTATAACAATTTACAATAGCTCAAGAAATCTCTGAATGAACATGAGATAAGACTTTTATCAACATGTCTATTGTTATCCAGTACAGATTTCAGTGGTTTAAGATAACAGCCCTAATTCTGTATAAAGGACTGTGGTTTTCTAACTGTCCTCAAGGGGGTATTGTTTCGGGTTAAGCTTCAGTTTCCTTTTATCATGTTGAAGATGCAACTATCAGACACAAGTGTTAAACAAGCAAGCAATCTCCGCTACCTGTGGGAGATGCGCTGTAATGTCAGAAGCATTGTCAGAATCAGTGTCATATGTCAACGATAACAAGCACCTTCTTCCCAGATTACCTGCAAACTTCACAATAATAATGACCTAGCCGATAAAAGGGCAAATGTTTACACAAAAACCAACAGCCGCCTAAGTTGAGAGGACTTAAGAAGGAGCAAATGAGTTCATAATCTCAACTCAATGAGAGTGTAAAGTTATCTCCCTTTTGCGAGACATATAATACTTTTGGCAAAGATGAGTGATTATTTAGGCTACAGGATGCTGTGATGGGAAGCTGCCTACAAAACTCCCTTCAACCGGGGAGAAGTAATCCGTAGCTAATACCACATTCTGTTTGTACACAATACCACAAGAAGCTTTGGAGATTAAAATTCTCCAATGACAAGTGAGTGAGTGAGTGAGTGAGTGAGGTTTATGCTACTTTTAGCACTATTCTTTTCAAAACTGCTTATGCACCATGTGACCTCTCTTGGCACACACCCCTGCGGCCTGATGTATATTGAGATAGGCCCTGGGCACTGGTGTCCTTTGCTAGGTTCCCATGCAAATCTGACAAACTGTGAATGGCATGACATGTGCAAGAAGTTGGCATCTGTGACCATCCCAAATATGAATATGAATAAATAGCTTCTTAAAACAAATATTAGGGTTGTTTCAAGAGAACAAAAACGTTTAAATAAACATAATAAATTAAGACTCAATGCTTATATGCTCTGCTCAGATTTTTGGGGGGAGAAAAGGTGAAATAGGTGAGTGAGTGAGTGAGGGGGAATATTGCTTGAGGCCACATCAGCAGCTTCACATCTATCTGCAGTGATACACCAGGACGACCTCACCACGATGGCCAGCGCACACACTCTCACACAGATGACATTATTGAGGTGTTCATCAAGTCTGTCACATAAGTCCCTGGCCACCTACAATCAGACAATCCATGCTGTGGATGTTATAGAACAATAGGACCAGGACAGTGCACGTAGTCACACTGCTCTACAGGCCAGTACACAGGACCCACTGGCTGGGCCACAGATAACAGGAGGTATTGCCAGGCCATCTTATCACTGTGATAAGTCCCATCCTCGGTGAGTGAGTGAGTGAGTGCAAGAGTGAGTGAGTGAGTGAGTGAGTGAGAGAGTGAGTGAGTGAGTGAGAGTTGGTCCAGACAAACCAGTGGTTGATAGCATGAGCAACAATCCACATCATTAGGATACATGACATACACTACCCAATCCCAATTTTAGTTTATTTGTACGTTAGAGACAATTGTGTTCCTTATCAGGTAATCTACTGAATTAAAACATATTGTTGTTGTTTGACAACTGAGCAAGTTGCTGAACTCCGCAATAGTGAAGCCATATTACGACTGCCTGAAAATAGTCTGGACAGGACAAACCACTTTTGTACATTGAAAAGGAACCAATCACCAAGCTTGAACACCTGATCCACTTGGCCACTAGTAAAGGTCTTGTTTGTCTCCTAGAAATCATCTTCAATGTAACCGAAATGTCAAACCCTCAATAAGGAACCTTCAACACCTGGTGTTGACTGCACAGATTACACGGATCAACAGGTTCACTGTCTGGTGGGGATTTCCTAAAGTTTGTTTAGCGGTAGACAGTGATTCAGGTTCAAGGATCATAATCAGGGCAGTTGTGGGATTCAAACCTGTTCAGCCTCACAACTGATCTGCAACTCAAGAGTAGTTTGGGTGTCGGCCATTTCACCCATCTATCATGACCACTGTCCACATGATCATTGATTCATTCCAGGCTCCAAGGTAATTATCAAACAATACAGTGCACTACACCATTGCATTACTTTACCGGACCCTCAAATTGCCTGCAAGGACCCTTAAAATTCATTTATAAGTCAAGGTAAAACCCTGGCAACTACGACTTGAAGCACTGGGCCAGAAGACTGGATCTGGGAGGCGGCCATGACGCTACTCGATCAGGCTAGCATCCACGTCACAACATAACAGTAGTTTCTTGAACATAATGAACACACATGGTTGAACTTGAGACTTGGAAATGTAATACAATGTTTGTTTATGTTGACGTGTATTGTACCAGCTACTGTAATAATGTCAATAGCTCCTCCATGTTGCGATGTAGTGCTACAATATCAGTACCTCGATGAATCACTATAGCCGAGGTCAAAAGAAATGAAATAGCTCAATGTTCTCGTTCCAAACTAATATTCAGAAAAAAGGATATCTCAAATGATTATTTGGTAAACTTGTAGGAAAAGGAGTATTTTTATATATTGAAATAAGAACAAATCCCCTACAGATAATAAATAAACCAGAAGTTGTCATCCATATAGTTTACGTTTTCTAACTTACTCACCATCTTCTAAAATGCAGTTCAAACAAATCCCCTGCAGTTGTCTACAATATCTTTCGTTTTTATCCTTAATGGACTTAAAACAAATATTCATCAGCTACATGTCCAGGACCTAGTGATACGTACAGGATTGCAACGTATGTCACATTTCATTTCTAACAAAGCAAATAAAGGATAAACTTAATAATTAAACTTAGGATTCTGTAACGAATAATATTAAAGGCAACGTGGCACGTCTTTGACCTGTAAAAACGTCTTTGAAAGACACCAAGTCCCAAACACATCAAAATAACCACCGTCAGCTTCCAGTATTATCTCCCACACAGCTTCTGACAGATCATTAAAGCAAAGTTTAAATTCATGCTCACATGCCAGGAAAACCGTGATTGCCGACTGGCCGATGTACAATGTTCGTCAGTGGACCTTTGCCATGACAAAGTACAACTCGTATCTTACCGAGTTCTTCATAGATGATTTCGCCATCAGCCGATTGAAGCTGGAAGCGGGCTGGGTAGTGGAATTTGGTTAAGAACGCCATGGTGAAATCCTGCCTCTACAGTCAATCGGAACTTCGATTTGGGTGATGTTATTGAGGATATTGGTGTTGACTACATAACTGTTGTGATTACCGCCTCCCTGAACGATGTGGCACCTTATCTACATCTACCTGCACAGTACACTCTCCATCAGGGGCCGTCTCACAACTGGCAGGGCCATTTACCTCATTGCTGACCTTGGCATCAAAATCAATGCTTCAAGGACATTGGATGGATCAGAATTGATAAACATTCTAGATAAGATTACGTAATTTCTTAATTTTCTGTTTAAACTTTTGATACTTTCACTTGTGTTCATCGCAGTG